TACAGCCGATACTAATAATCCAGAAGCACTACATGTATGTTTATATTAAAAGAATTATTACATTTTTTCTTCTTCTTTAATTATGCAGTAGAGTAATAAAACGATGACTTTCAATAGATATATATATATTCTACAAAACTATCTCTTACCTTTTAACTTTCTATTAAATTTACGGATCTCTCATGACATACATCTTTCTGTAAGATGATTTCAACTTGCATATTTACAGCTAGAGTCAGGAAGATTCTCAACCATTCCAATGAGCTTCGCCTTGGATAAAGGAAACTACATTATGAGTTTACCTGGCATCCTGAAAATGGTGATTGATATCTGAGAGTAATCATTGATAAAGACAAGATCAAATTCAGACAGTATCTATTAGATTGCAATCGAAGTATTTGATATGGTTTTTCTTCTCTTGTACTAAAAAAGTGTCATTATAACTTATTATTCTTAGCAGAAATGTTTCAATTTCTTTTAGTTAATATAATTTAAATTAAGAATAAGTTTAAGACTATATCAAAATCTTGTAAGGCTTAAGTACTGAATCTTGTTTAGTGAAATTCTGATCGAATTTTAATTCTTTTCTGTTTATTTAGTTTACATTTCTTTTCAATACTATTACAAAGAACGGTTCAAAAAGCATACTATGTCACTGTGTTGTTGATCCCAATTGCCAAGGACCAATCAATTTCGCAATTGAGCGTATAGTTGGTATTTCAACATTACCTGGTGTTCGTCCACAATATGTCGGTTTTGGTTACGTGGCGCCTGGATTGGTTGATGCATGTTATACTATTGATTTCCTTCTTCTATCAACACTTCAATGTTTTTATACCAATTCCGATTGTATGAATCATCTTTTCTATTATATAAACAAAACATATTCGTCGGCTGGAAATTATTCAAATTTGTATGCACATCCATTAATATATAACCAAACATCAACTCGTTTTCCTCCAAATATTTCAGTTTCATCAATAGTTGAAGAAATGATGATTGAAAAATGGAATACATCATTGTCATTTTCTGATTATTATAAAGCATGTGCACCAACTTATTGCACTTACACTCAAATAAAACATGCAGAAACTTTCAGCGAACTATTAGTGACATTAATTTCTACGGTTGGTGGTCTTGTTATGGCATTACGACTAATTACATTCCAATTCGTTAAGATTATTTTTGGTTTATTTCAAAAAAAACTGAAGAAACAACAACAAGGTAATTAATAATAACATATAATATTGATCTTATTTTCATTACAGTTCGTCGAAAATTACTTGATCGATTCAAGGCGTTATTATTTAAACTGATAACATTTTTATATACAAAAATGTTGAATCTAAATATATTTCCTCTACGAACATTCGGAAGTAAGATCGACCGAATAACGGTAAAACATCTTGGTCAATGGTCAACTCGTCTTTATCTTATTCTTCTAAGCATCATTTTTGTCATTTTAACTCTTTATACAGCTATTCAACCACAAACATTGACCAAATCCTTTTCAACACCATCATTAGATTTCTATAAGAATTTGATGAATGATCATAGTGATGAACTTGAATGTCCATGTTCATTGATTTCATCTCCATATGATGAATATATTCACATTCAACCGATATTTCATCAAGTAAGAAAGATTTTTTTTTATTTTATTATATTATTTTTCTGATAGATTTGTTCAAGTGATTTAATTTCAAATGAATGGAGATTAAATATTACAGCAAATTTAATTTCTAA